GTGTTTTTTTAATCCTTATAGAACAAAAGGAACATTTTGTCATCTCAAGTGGTTCTTGGTTAAATTAATATATTATCAATCTTATTTATATTATTACCAGAAAATAAGAGATGTTACAAAACTGTCTATACTAATTGAGCATAATATTACAAATATTTGTTGTTTTGATTTTTCTGATGATTCAAAAACAAAGAACTACACATTTAAATCCAATTATTTGCAGATATTTTGAGCTATTTTTTTTTTATTTTAAACAGAAGTTCAACTCTACATGTTCAGATTCCCACAGCCAGGCTTCTTGACGGTAATGAAATTCATCCTCTTTCTGTGAAATTTTCAAAAGGCAGGGTCATCACAGGCTCTCCCAGTGGAATTAATAATACGCTCACCTGCCACCTCAGCTTCAAATCATCTAAACCTGTGTCATTTTTCACCAATCTTCTTTTCTGTGATGACAGAAATAACTGGTAAGATATTTAAATATAGATTCCTTTGTATCTGACATTGAAGAATAATAGGTTTATATCCTGCACCATTGTAAAATGTTAAAAGGAGAGAAAGACATTTAATGTAATGACTTCGGTCATAAAGATTTTTTTTAAAGTTCCAAATGCAAGTTTGCTTTCACAAGAAACAGCGTAATAGTGATTACCAGCATATACTAGTCTGGAGCATTGCTGGCTGGAGTCAAATTCTGGTTTTAATAACTTTACTTTTGAGTCATTCAGTTTCCTCGTTTGTGAAATGGAGATAATAGCAGAAGCTATCCCATCTGTCATCATGAGCAGTTCAACAAGTGAATTATGGAGTAATTGGACAGGATCTATTGCAAAAGAAATGCTGAATAAATATTAATTGAAAGTTAATCAGCATAATGATTTCCCAACAACATGGCTTTGCTACATGTTGCTTTAACAGGGTCAGGAAAATTCAAATACACCTTGGTGAAACCATGTTTCTGGATGCCTTACCTTGTAGGACCAGAATCACCACTTTTACTACATTATACTCTGAGACAATTTGACTAACCAAATGACAATAGGCTAAAGTGTAGAGTAATAAAGTTTGTTAAAAAGGTTTACAATGTGAAATAACATTAGAGTGAATTGTACACCAAATCCGTGTCAGTGTATGTTCTCTATGTGCTCATTTATTAACTTTTAGTTGGGTCATTATTATTTTGTATACTTGTAGTCAAAAAACTGATTTATGTGTTTGGAATTAGAAGAGAGACAGATAGTACAGGAATGTTGCATTATAGGCAAAGCGTGGCCATATCCAGGACAAAGTGCAAAAATTTAATGACATTACTTTAGGCTACTTTCAAGCACTGAACTCCATGCCTCTGTCCTGGAAGCCATTCTGTCTTTTTCTACATTATTGACCTTTTTCATAAAACTTGAATCGTATATCACTCCATTCAACAAATTCACACTTTGCCCAAAGCACTGCGTGGTCTGTACCTTTGAGGTCACCAATAAAAATCATGAATATCTTATCCATAATTATCTTAAAGCTAATGCAGGCTCAGGCCGCATTAACAGAGTGAAAAAAGAAATAGTTTCACTAAATACTATGTAAACTAGATGGCTTCAGGGACTAGTGGTAAAATTGCCTCTGAGAGGGCATGAGCAGACTTCATTGTGTTAATGTGTTGAAGTCTGGTCTGCAAACAGGATAATAAGAAGACTTGAAAATATTCTGTAGAGGGAGTAAGGATGATGCATTTGATGGTTTTACTTTCTTTTTTTGGGGGGGGGTGTGTTTCCCAGCCTTGAGAGTTGTTTGCTCTTACCTGGAACTCCTCACCTTTTTTCTAAATATCTTCTTAATACATTACCTTGTACAAAACTCCATTTCAATCCTTAGCTGGTTTGTGATAAAGTAGAGACATTAGAACTAATTTAGAAACTTTACAAATTATAGATGGGTAGCAAAAGGCTTTTTTATGCATCCAGATAAACAAGGAACCAAGATCATGAGCATTCCCTAGAACCTTAATAGTGACAAATCCTTCTACTGGTGCCTTGTTAACTCCTTACCTAGTTTCCCATTGGGAACATGACTAGATCCTCCTTCTCTTCTCAACTCTCCAAGACTTTCCTTGTCTTTCTCTGTTTAGGCATTCCTCCTCTGATCTCATTGTGATAAATGAGCTCTTCTAGCAAGAAATTCCTTAAGGGCTTACCTTTCACTTCAGAATTTCTATGAAATAAATTGGACTCATTTATTGTGTTTAATCTATTAGCTTATATTTATTGTAGGCAACCTATGTGTGTACTATGCCCAAGATTTTGGATAAGTACAGGGCCATTCCCTGATGGAGGTCAGTGTAGTAGGATATTTGCCCTAAGTCTAAGCCTTTATTTGCATTTGGTTTGTCCATATTGAAGCCCATGGGCCCAGTTAAAAATAAAACATTGCTTTCTTTTTTTTTTTTTTTTTTTGTTTCTTTTTTTTTGTTAAACTTTCATACTGTTAGTTCTCTTGGGGGCTAACATGCTTGGCTTTTTATTTTGTTTCCTTTCTTAGACTTTGTCACATTTGGCTGTCAAGTGGATTTTTTCTCATGTATTTATTCATTCAATATTTTCTGAGTTACAACTAACTATACACCTGGCTTTCTTCTGGCACTAAAGTAAAAACAAAGCTCCTGTACTCACGGAGCTTCCATTGTAATGCAGGAGACAAAAATTGATAAATAATATAATATCACAGCCTAACAAAGAAAATAAACGAGTTTAATAAGAGAGTAAGGAATATCTTCCTGTATCAGTCAGACAAGGCATCCAGGAGGATGTTGTATGTGAGCATATAAGTATTGTGAGAATTTAATAAGAAATGTCTATAAAGTGCTTAGAACAGTCCCTAGGATGTTGCACTACCTGAGTGAATGTTCTAGAATTGACATTAGTTTTAGAGTCAGTATTCTAGTTTTCCAGAATGATGCCAGTGGCTAATATAGAGATAAAGGCTTTCTACTATTAAGAGAAAGATTGGGTCCACCCCGTGACAGAAGATAAATCTTCATAGAGACACAAAGTTTTGCACAGGAAGGGAAGAAGGGGTGGGGACAGTAATTCAATTGTCACGGGAGTGAGGATTGCTTTGAATAATCTCCAAATCATTTACACTGTATTTCAGAATTGATGTTATTTCTTATGTTTTCAAACGTTTCTGATCTGGGAATTCACAGAGAGATTAAATGGTTTAAGCAATGTCAGAATGTCGAAATAACCCCGATTTTGCACCGTGGTTTCCGCTCCAGGCTGAAGAGAGGGAACACCACATCCTAAAAGAACTTGTAATTGTCAGAATGAAGCTGTGCTACTTGCTCTTGCTTTATAAGCCTAACTGTTACTCTACCTAGACTTCACAAAGAATCAAAGTTATGGCTCTGGGTGATTAATTTCACAGGAATTCTAAGAATGCCAAAGAAACCTTAATATTTTTCCATGGTTAACCTCAAACCTAATGTGTTTGATAAAATCGAGAGTTAATTTCATCTGCCTGTTTCAGGTAACCAAGAGGTTAACCTGAATTAGCCTCATTGTGAAAACAACAAATACTAATTGAGGGTCCCTAATTAGGAATAGGGAGTGTCAGAAATATGAGGTTATCTATGCATTTTTTAATCTAGCAAATATTTAACACATATCCATTATTCTCAAAATTGATGATATTTTTCTAGGATTTAGTACCCAAATTTAGATTGAATAATGTTAGAGCAAAGGAAAAAATAATCAGCTGTTTTATAAGAGAGCCAACATGGGTAATTGAAAATTAAAAATTAAACCAAATGAAATAAATCTAAATGACTTATCTCTCAGATACACATGGGGTATGCTATTAAGATACCAGCTTTTTTCTCATTTTAAAGCAACAGTTCTCAACTTTGGCTGGGCATTAGAAACATATGGGAGGTTTTAGAAACTACAAATGTCCTCTTGGCACTGAGAAACTCTGATATAATTTGTCTGGAGGGTGACCTGGACACTGAAAGTTTTAGATGCTCCCCAGGTGATTCTAATTGGAAGCCAGAGTTTAGAACTCTTGCTCTAGAACAGTGGTTCTCAAATTTCACCCTGCATGTGACTCACTCGGAGGGCTTGTTAAAACAGATTCTGTGCCCTATTCCCATAGTTCCTGGTTTAGTGAGTTTGGTGAACCTACAAATTCACACATTTGGCAAGTTTCCCTTTGATGCTGATGTTGCTAGTCTGGGAATAGACTTGAGTTTGCTCGAAAGGTAGAATTTCAGGTCCCACTCCAGACCTAAAAAAAATCAGCATCTGTATTTTAAAAAGATCTCCTGGTGATTTAGGTGCACAGTAAAGTTTGTGAAGCACAGGACCTAGAAAGACTGAAGGAGGGCAAATGCCATCAAAAGGGGTTAGATTACACAATGGAACACTGGTAAATATTTGGCAAGAAATAGCATTGCAAAAAAAAAAAAAAAGAAATAGCATTGCCACTGGAAAATGGTGTTGCCGTGGGAATCTTTAAGTTAGATACCCATCTTCCTTTTAGGGTAGGTTTGATTTAATCTGCTAATACATTACCCAACTTAATCTGTACAAAAATCTTTTGTAAAGTATAATCCTGAATTTCCAGCCGAGAAAATCGGAGCATTGCTATATCATTTACCTTTCACTCCCTCGCCCAGCTGTCAAGTGAAAGAACCTAGATTTGAGATCAGGTCCTATTATCTCTATTATACAATTTTGCTTCTCTTCTCAAGTCATAGGATTTTACTGCTGTAACATGAGTATTTCCTAAGAAAATTGAATAAAATAATTTTTAAGGCATGATATGCTATGTGGTATAAAATTCATTGCATGTATACTTAAACTTTGATGTTGTAATAGAAGCTAAACCACATTATGTTCTAAATGATAGGAAAATTAAAAATGTAGAGTAAGAATAGTAAAGGGCTATCTAGAAGATCAGGTTGGACTAAAATCAGGGCTGGTGATCAGCTGGCACACAGGGGCGTAGCCTCACCAGTGGATACAGTCTAGAAATACTGCTTTGTAGGTTGGTTACCAGCCACTGTCCTTAGTGTCTACATTCAGTGCCTGAGCTGCCTCAAACACTGCTTCTGGACCTTGGGCCCACTTAAGACATAGTAACTAAAAGGTTAATGCCTGGCATGGCTGGGATTCTTCAAGATCCTGTACTATATCTATAGTTGCCTTTTAGATCATAGGATTCATTGGTATTGAAAGATACATGTTTTATTATCACCCCTTTTTTTCCATATGACATGTGATTGTTTATTCAAAGAATATATTTATTGTGCACATTTCTGATTGGCTGGTGTTCAGTAGTGTCAATGTTATTAATAGCAAAGCTGCCACTGAAGTGTCTCCTCTATGAATTGCTTTACACATAAACTCCTGGGTAGTGCTGGCTTAGTTGTCCACTCAAGACCATTAAATCTACAGCTTTCCTAATAATGGACAAC